ACCAGGATGGTCTCGATCTCTTGACCTCGTGATCCACCCGCCTCAGCCTCCCAAAGTGCTGGGATTACAGGCTTGAGCCACCGCGCCCGGCCCTGTGTTGGGCTCTTTAAGTAATTAATCCTACTGTTTTTCAGAAACCCTTTGCACTGGGCTGCCAAGAAGCCGGCAGGGCCCCATGGAGTGCCCCACAGGCCTATAAGTGAGGTGCCTCTCAGAGCAGTCACCCAGGGAAGGGAGGAGGGCAGGAAATGGGGCCAGCGGAGATGCAGGGACAGAAATCAGCAGAAACACTCCATGCTGGTTCTGACTCGCTCCATCTCGTGCAGGAAGCTGTAGAACTGAGGCAAGGTTAATTCTGGGGAGAGAAAATTCAGCTTCAGATAAATGTTTCCAACTCCACAGAATCATCCAAGAAAATTAATTTCCACCCAGAGTTTTTTTTTTTTCTTTCTCTTTTGGCTTGGTACATCTAAGCAGCTCTTGATGGGTAATTGATCATAATAAAGAACTGAGAGACTTGAATGCAGAAGGTTCTCAGCTCCATAGGAAAAAAGGGGAGTGAGTGTTCAAATGGCACAGCTCCACGGCACAAAGAGATGAAAGGGCATCATTCGGGATGTTCAATGTGACTTCTACGGCAAGAGCTTCTTGCTCGTCAACCTTCTTCTTCAATCCAAGCCATTCCTTTCCCTCCCTTTCCCTTTGTCAAAAAGGCTCTTCAACTGCGGGGGCTCCAGCCTGTCAATGGCTCACTAACACTCCTTGTGCCATCATGAGAGGAAAGGCAGTGCAATGGCTACTCCACAGCTGGCAATGACTGTTTTTATAGAAGACATGATTTTCGGTGAACGTCACCAGCCCCTGACTGCAGAGAACATGTAAAAGGTGAAAAGGCTCAAATGGAAATTCAGACTCACCTATATACACATTTTCGGTTTGATTTCCTTTTTTAACCACCAACTTTAGCTGATTAAAGAAAAAGAAATAATTTAAATTAAAATGATGACGACTGGGCAAAGAAATTCTTTTTTTTTTTTTTTTTGAGACGGAGTTTCACTCATGTTACCCAGGCTGGAGTGCAATGGCGCGATCTTGGCTCACCGCAGCCTCCGCCTCCTGGGTTCAGGCAATTCTCCTGCCTCAACCTCCTGAGTAGCTGGGATTACAGGTACACGCCACCATGCCCAGCTAATGTTTTGTATTTTTAGTAGAGACGGGGTTTCACCATGTTGACCAGGATGGTCTCGATCTGTTGACCTCGTGATCCA